TCGCCACTCACTACAGGCTCTACATTGGCGTACAGTATGTGTTATATCGGCTGAGCATTGGCTGTGACGCCAGGTCTTCACTCGAGACCATCTATCCGTTGCTTTTCTCTACCAACTATTGATTTCACCGCATTTCCAGCATTTTATTACATATTTTTGCTTTTAATTTAATTATTCGCTAATTATTTTATTTGATTAATGTCGTCATTAGTGCGCGAATAAATATTTTATTATTTATTCGCATTTTAATAAATTTTTTATTTTTTTGTTTAGTAGGAATGTCTTTTAATTATTTAATTTTAATAGTCAACAAACAGATTTTGACAGAATTAAATTTGTAATATACTCAATTATATAAGTTAATAATATTTAAATATTGCAAATAATAAATGATAGATTTACATATTTTTGCATGCTCTCTCTCTCTCTCTCTCTCTCTCTCTCTCATAATTTAAACATCTCGTAATAATCATCAAAAATTATTAGATAATCAAATAAAATTTGATAATAATTTTTAATATAAAAATAAAATACTTTATTTATATTTTTAGTTTAGTAGTTTAAATTTTAATAAATGGTAAGAAATAATAAAGCAATTTTGCAGAATATATCAATAAATGAATAAAATATGATTAGTTTTTGACCGTCTTATTCAATAGATAAAAGATATAAATAATATGGCAATATAGCAGTATAGCATATAGCATAGCATGGTGTGTATTAAATTAATATGTTTGAGAATGTAATGTTGTTTTAACAATGAAAACAGTAGTCGATTGTAGAGAGAGAGAGAGAGAGAGAGAGAGAGAGAGAGAGAGTAATTCTGAAAATTACAGAATTTGAACGATAAGTCTGACAGCAGTGAGAGCTCTATAGCAACGAATTCTCGTGTCTCAACACAAATACAAAAGTGATTTCTTTTGGCGACAAACGCTTCAAATATTATTTTCTTTTTGCAAAGGAATTGCAATGAATGCGAGAATAAGTAGTGCCCGGATTAATCAAGGTGAATTCACCAAAACTGTCTACACATGGATTAAAGATGGTTTGTATTGACGTCTTATTTGTTTAAATTGCGACCCATTGTATGGGTTGACGTGAATTCAATTTGTATATATGTTGTTAAACTGATTTACAACAACGTTATAAGCGTTTACTTGTATTTGACATTAGTTTGCATTCAAATACAAAGTTCACAAAATCAATGTTAGACTTCTATGAGTGAAGCAAACAATGTTTTGTCTCATTATAACAACTCTATGAATGAAATGTAATATAAGTAAAAGTGCTTTCAATTTAATAGAATAATAGAAAGGATAGGAATGGTAGGAATGGTAGGCTCTAAGTTACTACACTATACTGTGTTTGATCTCATCTCTGTTATTGTTGTGGCTTCAAATGGACACAAAAATCTCTGCCTTTATATTTTTAATCTTATTTTTCTTATGTAATCTGTCTTTATTTCATTGTCTTTTCATGAATTTTTATTATAAATATTTACAAACTCCTAAGCAAACACATAATTTTGAAAAATATAATCCGTAACGCAAAATAATTGGATTAATTGTTTATTTTGTCGACTAAACAAAAATCCAAATAAAATAAATACTAATCACAACTCAAATATTCATTAATTGAACAAAAACCTTATAATTCCTGAGGAATACACATAAAAAGCTTATATACTGCTCAGTAATATGTAGTGATATTGTAGAGAATATAATGCATACAAAGTAATCGAATTAAGTTTAAATAAAAAGCTTTCATTTCCTGGAGATAAAAATATTTTGTGTATAAATATTGAACAGAATTTGAATTACAATTACAGGAAATTACAAAGAAGTCATCGCTTTCCTCAGCGAACAAATCGCTGTAAATCCCAACTCGAGGGCCGGCCTCTCACTACTGGGTTATTGTTACTATCATTTGCGAGACTTTGTGAGCGCCACCAACTGTTACGAGCAATTGATCCAATTCTATCCCGATGTGGAACAGTATTACGTAAACTACACCCAATCCCTATATCAGGCCTCTCTATACGAAGAGGCTATGAAAGCCTCGTTTAAAATCGAGGAAAAGTTTGGTTTCAACGCTCAGACAATCAAATTACAGGCGGCCATCAAATACTGCGAGGATGACATCCCGGCCGCCAAAAGTCTTATTGACCAGATCGGCGACGAGGACCCGGACAAGGAGGTGAACCTGGGGTCTCTGCTGTACAAGCAGGGTCGTTATGACGAGGCCATCGCCAAGTTCAGCACATGCTTACAGCTGGAAGGCTATCGGCCCGATATTCTCTATAACATAGCTCTCTGTCACTACAAAATGAAACAATACACGAATGCATTGAAACATATCGGAGATATCATCGAGAAGGGCATTAGAGAGCACCCGGAGCTTAGTGTCGGGATGACAACTGAAGGAATTGAAGTGAGAAGTGTTGGAAATACTCTAACCCTTCACGAGACAGCTTTAGTCGAGGCGTTCAACTTGAAAGCAGGCATTGAATACCAGCTTAAGAACTACGAGTCAGCTCAGGAGGCATTGACTGATATGCCCCCGCGGTCTGAGGAGGAGTTGGATGCGGTGACACTTCATAATCAGGCGCTCATGTCTATGGAAACGGATCCGACGGAAGGGTTCGAGAAATTGCAGTTTTTAATACAACAAAACCCTTTCCCTCCCGAAACGTTTGCCAACCTATTGCTGTTGTACTGTAAGTACGAGTACTACGATTTGGCGGCCGATGTAATGGCAGAGAACACACACTTCACGTATAAGTATCTGAGCCAATATTTGTATGAATTCCTCGACGCAGTCATCACTCAACAGACCTCTCCTGAAGACGCGTACAGAAAGTTTGACGAAATGGTATCGAAACACACGGACTCTTTGCGCAAACTAAGCAAACAAATACAGGAAGCCAAACAAAACCAAAACGAGGATTTGGCCAAAAAACTCACTCTTACTTATAACGATACACTTGAACTCTATCTGCCGGTGCTTATGGCTCAGGCTAAGATTTATTGGGATATGGAGTACTACACTCAAGTGGAGAAAGTATTCAAAAAGTCAGTCGAATTCTGCAATGATTATGATGTATGGAAATTGAATGTAGCGCACGTCCTATTCATGCAGGTATGCCTGAACCATTGTAACTATCAATCTAATTACTATTCCTCACATATATTTGTTTTTCTTTATATCGAGACTTCATTCAATCAAAACTACAAAGAATTTATTTTAAGTTTCAGAATACATATACAGTATTATATCTAAAGGATCAATACTTGGATATAAGTGTTTCTTTTATTTTTATCATAATATTTATGTCTTACAAATTACACATTAAAAGTACGCTATATTGCAATAATAGGCTATTAAATAGAGTGTAGTTATCAAGAAATGTGACTCTTGTAGACCTTTCATTAAACATTAGCTATAAGTCTATGTTATTTCATTGCATTTCTATTAATAGTTTATTAAATGAATATACCGGCAGTAAATTATAATATATTATGGTTTTGTTTTGATTACATCCTATATAATCATGGCTCAATTTATTTTGCACAAACACTTGAGATTGAAATAAGCTCAGTTTTGTAATTTAATTGTTTATCTAATAATTGTTTGAAAAATAAATTACATATTTAGGAAAATAAGTTCAAAGAGGCGACTGGTTTCTACGAGCCGTTAGTCAAGAAAAGTTACGACAAGATCCTGAACGTAAGTGCCATAGTATTGGCCAATCTGTGCGTGTCGTACATCATGACCGGTCAGAACGAGGACGCAGAGGAACTGATGCGGAAGATCGAGAAGGAAGAGGAGCAGTTAGCCTATTCGGATCCCGACAAGAAGATCTTCCACTTATGTATCGTGAATCTGGTGATCGGGACCCTCTACTGTGCGAAAGGCAACTACGAGTTCGGGATCTCCCGGGTGATTAAGAGTCTGGAGCCGTACAACAAGAAGTTGGGAACTGATACCTGGTTTTATGCCAAACGATGCTTTCTATCCCTATTGGAAAACCTGTCCAAACAAGTGATATGTATTCGCGACTCTATAATACAGGAATGCCTCCAATTCTTCAGCCAATGCGAGGAATACGGAAAGAATATAAAGACTATAATTGAAGCGCCGTTAGAGTTAGAGACTTTGCATCCGGGCAAAAATACGGTCACATACGAGGCCAGACTTCTTAAGGCTTTGTTGCTTAGGATTATTCGTTGAATGAAAACTATTTTTCTATTTTCTTATTTAATCTTCAAAAGAGAATTAAAAGATAAACACTTTTGTTATTAAAGTTTTTTTTTCACATGAATTCTAATATATATATGAAATGCAAAAAATCATTTCCATAGCGACAGAAAAAGTTGGATTCCGTATTGAAATGACAACAAAAGACTTGATTTTAATCTGCTTTTACTTTGCATTATATAACTCTCAATATACTGTATAATACTTGTACTGCTATTATACAAACATTTTGAATGTCTCATTCAAATGTAAACAAAATTGGTGTTTACTTTAAAATAAATAATTTAATTGTGACACTAATTTATTTCTAAGATGGATGCGAAACAATCATTCAATTGTTCAATTGTACAGTATAACAATTTTATTTTAAGCCAAAATTTTTGCTATTGAAACTCAAATAAGTTATTAGAGTTTATAAAAATTTACTGTATCCACTAGATACTACCTACTATCATAAATATTGAATAATGTAATACAGTAGTGAACTGTCAATAGTGATCGTGGGAGTGCTTTCTTTACTCTATTATTCTGACTATATTTCTAAAGGGTCTAAAATTTGTTAAATCTTCAATATACTGTACTGTATACTATCAAACTAAATATAGCTCTCTCTCTCTCTCTCCCTCTCTCTCTCTCTCTCTCTCTCATTTTAAAATATGAATGATTATTATTAATAGACATAAGAGGAATGCAAAGTCTTAGCACATAAAAGTGACTGGAAGTGCGAAATGTCTCGCACCGGATCAGGTGGTCGTTCATTTCTGGACGAGCTATTGGCCGATGATTTGGATAAACCGAACACTACTTCCAAACGAAAATCCGTTCGGTTTATGGATAGCGATGAGGAGAATAGCGATATATTTGCCACAAACTTGATGTCATCTGCAGCTAATCGTCAGACATCAGCCAAAGATAGACAAAGAATTATTGATCCTCTGGAACGGCCTAAAAGTGATGCCTTGAGTGGTAAACAAAAGAATAGCACCAAATCTGATTGGCTTGGATTAGATAATGATGACGAACCCAACCGACCAAATGCACAGACATATCAGGAAATAATACAAAAACCAGCGATCGATCAAAAGGATGATTGGCTCAACACAGGCCTAAGTGCCAGAAAAAATAGATCAACGACTGAGTCGTCAAAATCAGCGACAGATCCCATCGAAAGAAATGATGACAACTCGTGGACGACAATCAGAAAAAGAGCCGAAGAATCAAAAGTTAAAATTCAAGACCAAAAAGAGGATAAAAGACAACAAAATGATAATAAAATAGCTGTGAATACAGTGACACCGAAAGTGTCACCAGACTTGACACCAACTGCATCAAGCGATAAAATGCAGAATTTGGCAAATATTGAGGCATTGGATGAGACGTTGGATACAAGCATTAGTTGTGTGAACACGTCCTCAGTTATGCTCCTTAAGACTCAAGTGAGTGTCAAAATAGTTTACACACTCTTAACGTAAGTCAATACATATAATCTGCGAAGAATTCAATTTCTTTCGTCAAAATAAGACAACCGAAAGAATGGTTAAAAACAAAGTTGCCTTTTATTTAATTATCACATTGTGTTTAGTATTTACAAATAAATTAATTCCCATAATTAGACTATATTTTCAGACATTTATGACATATTAAATAAAAGATTCATTTTGTCAGTTCTCCTTCTCTTACAATATTTGCGTCCAATTTAACCTTAACTTCTTTTTGTGGATTTCATAATACATGAAATTTCTTTTTTATTTTCATTGATTTTTCTATTAAATAGATTATTGAATGGAATTAGTTGTGCTCCCATTCCTTTCTATTCTTACATTCATTTTACATTTGTTTAGTGTTTTTGATATACTGTACAAAATATGATATAGTGTACAAAATATGATAGAATAACTCACAATTTAATATACTATAAATTTCACATGTAAACCATAATTATGCATTTGATTATTAATCAATAAATAATTTACAAAAATAGAGTTAAATAGTGTACAAAATTGATAAATACATTTTAGTCATTATGATTCAAAATTAGGTTCTCTTCATGGCGTAAATACTATAAAACAGACCTAATAATAGAAATATTTATATGAATTTTAAATATAATTTCCTTTGAGTAGGGAATCTAATTTGAATTGAGATTTTATTTACTAAAAAATATATTTTCAAAACAGTTTATTATAAAAATAAAATACAATTCACTTGAAATGAAATCAATTTCTTGCTAATATCTTATTTATATCTTATTTGTACTCTTTTTCACATGAATTCAATACGAAATTTCTAAAGAAATATAAATCATTTTCTGATTCATTTGTAATTAAATTAAGTTGCAAATAATAATTTAATATCTTTTCTTTGCAAAATACAGATAAAAATGCTTGAATTGGAAAAAACATATTTACAGCAAACGTTAGAACAAATCAAATCAAATCATAGCCAAGAAATGAAAATTATGACTGAATTGCATGAGTAAGTGGTATAAAGAATAATTTGTTAATATTTTTATGTGTTTATAGAATATTTTTCATCAATAATGTTATCACTTGCTTGTACTGTCAGTCTATTTATATCTTTATATAATAATTAATATTTTTATATTTAGAAATATTCATAATTTTACAATTTATTGGTAAAGTGCATGACATCTACAAATAACAATATGTTTTTTAAACAATGTTAACTAATTTTCAATCACAGATATTCTTACACGCTAGCTATAAATATTCTGTATTACATTACGCTTATAGCTTAATTATTCAAATCGATAAGCTTTACAGTTTTGTTTAATAATTTTGTTGAAATTATTTTATTGACTTTAATTCTAGGGAATGAGTGAATACGAGGTGTAAAACAGTTGTTAGTTTATGTTTTATGTTTACTGTATATTTGCTTTACAGGCTTAACAAATATTTTCAAATAACGCTTTCAATGAATATTATATAATACTGTATAAGGGATAATTTATTTATATATATTTTGTAATTTTCTTGCGATTATTTCGTTTAGAAAATAAATAGAGAAATAATGGAAAATAAGATACAAAATAAAAATTAAGTCAAAACATTATACAGAATCGCTAACATAGTGTATATAGTAATAAGAAATTTGTTGAGTTTAACTGTAATGATATAACTGTACGTATTTTGAATGCACATTTAAAATTGATATAAATATTTTAATAAGAAAATGTACTTTTATTTTCCAAATCTAGACAACAAATGCAAATGACTACAGATATGTATAAAAGGCATGAAGATATGTAAGTCTTGTTAACTTTCACTTTTATTAAATATAATTTAAACCCTAATTGCATTTTAAAAATGAAACACATGTTTAATATCAAAGTAAAGAATAATTCACTTTTTTACATGTCTTTTAGTATTAAAATGAATTTAGCTTATGGTGGAAACATTTTGCAATAGAGTCATTTAACATTCTTAAATAACATTATAATGTAGAAATCAATAGAGATTTTCTTAATTAAAGTTGATGATCTTGTTAAATTATTTTAATACCGTAAGTTAAATTGTATATTTTTTATTACCGGTAATAATCATAGCAAACAAAAGTATGGTAGTGTATTATTGTAAAAGTGGTTTTTAATACAACATATTCAATTAATCAAAAATACTACACACATAATATATCTTGCAGAATCCATATTCTTTGACAGAAATTGAAAATAAAAATATCAAATAAGTTAAAGATTCTGTTTTATTTAAACTAAAATTATACCAATATAGTTATATTTATTATTTATTAAAACATTATACATTTTATTTTTTCTGAGAATTTATATTTGCCTCATTATATTATGATATTTAAAATACGGTAACTCGATCAAAATTGATTAAAATATAAAGTTATAATATTACAATAAATGTTTCCAGAAAATTGATACCATTAAATTATCAAAATTGTTTATTAAAAAATAAGGATTATAAGACATATTTTTTATTTTCCATTTAAATCTTGTTTAAATATTCTTGAGTTTGTATAAAGTTTTAAAAAAATTATTTTCAGTACTTCAAAAGTCTTACTATATTTTGTTGTATTAAAATATATTTTTAGGATATAGTCTTTTAAATATTTTTAATTAAAAAATAGAGTTTGTGAAATCACTGTAAGAAATAACTTCTTTAATGATTTAATATAATATTCAAATATAACGTTGAATAAAATATTAGTAAATATATAAATAAATAACATAAAAGTAAATTTTGCCCAAAGAATCTGTCATCTAAAATATCTATCAAATGTTTACATTA